ACAAAGTGATAAAAGTTTGGAACAGTAATCCCAAGTAATTAAAACAGTTACAGTAAGAAACTTATCTGAAACGGAATCATAGATACACCTTCTCTCTCTCACTTGTCTCTCTCTCTCCTTATCTCTCCGCCTCCTTTCCTCTTCCCTCTTTTTCTCGGTCCCTGAGTATATTTGCCAGGAACTCTGCCACCTGCTCAGTAACTTTGGGGGTTTTGTCCGCTTAGCAAGAATTCAATACCTCTATCAGTTGTAACCTTAGAGAGTTTAAGGAGAGGACTAATCAGGTGTAAACGTAGCTGAGTGTACAGCGGGCAGTTTAGGAGGATGTGCTGTACAGAGTTAGGTTCTTTGCAGAGACATCTGCAGAGTCTTGTCATCTGGCTACCAAGGCCAGCCCAAATTTGTGCATTTTTGACCATCAGGAGCCTCAAGGCTCTTAGTAGGCTCTCAGGCCCCAAAGAGGTTTGCTTTCCCATGTGCATTCCTGAATCTCTCCTCAGAGTTAGGATCTTAAATCCCACTGGATTCTGTACCCAGCTCCCACAAGTGAATGCCTAAAGCGACAGTAGGCATTAACCACTACATTTAAAGTATGCCCAGTGCTTCATGGTACTTTTACCTCACCTCTCTCCAAAGACTGGTCAGGTAAATGGTCTCGCTTGAAAACAAAACAAAACAAAGCAACAAAATTATAGAATGCAGAATTGGTGAAATGAGATGCAGAGTCTATTACCTGGCAACCAGGGATATGTATGCTCTCCTGAGCTGTTTAATATTTATGTAAGATCATTAGGAGACATTGATGACACCCAATGCCAGAGCTATGGACAATGGGCTGATAACACCAAGGGATATGTATTTTTGCGTAAGCCTCCAGATATCGCGGTCTTGGTTCTTGGCCATTGTCCTGAGGCCATGATCAAATGGCAAAAACAAGAGGAAGATAAATCCAGGGAAAACTGACGTGATGTTGCTTGGAAAAAGAAGGGCTTCTGTTGCCTGCATTAGATGGGGTGTCACAGAAGCTGGTGGATTCATTAAAGAGCTTAGGGGTACTCCTTGAGACAACTTTTATCAACAGACAAGCAGGTCAACTTTGTAGCTAGAAATGCCTTCTTTCACTTACATCTGGACAGGACAATTCACCCATTTTTGTACACAACTTATCTGGCAATCCTGGCCCATGTTACTAGAACCTCGAGACCAGAATACTGTAAAGTGCTCTATGTGAGGCTGTCCCTGAAGAAGACTTGGAAGCTGCAAACTGGTCCAGAATGTAGCAGCCTGTTTATTAACAGGCATTAGCTAGACCACCCACAAGATGGTAGTATGCACTACCTCCCTGGTTGCCTCCAGATCTAATGCAAAGTGCCGGCTTTGACCTTTAAAGCCCTTTACAGGCTGGCTCCCACACACATGAAAGACTGCCTCTCCCCCATGGGAGCATGGGCGGACCATAAGATCCTCAAGACAAGGACAGCTCTTTCCTCCCTCCTTACGATCCTCAATTCTGGGGCAAAAGGGTTTTCTATGGCAGCCCCAACCTTATGGAAGGGGCTACCAGTTGAAGTCAGGGATGTCTCTTCTCTCATCCAGTTGAGGCAGCAGTATGTGGCTGTTACGTTTAAGCAGACTTTATGCTTACTTGCTTTTAATGGTGTCTAATTGTGCTAATAATCTTTTATGTCAGGTCTCTGGGCAGTTTTAATTTGCTTGCTTTATTTAAGCAATGAGGGAAAGCACAGAAAACAGTGAATAAATTTCATCTGCATCTACGGTAGGAGAGATGTAATAATTATAAACACAGGAAACTGACCCCACCCAAAGCAGGACCACACTTAAACAAACAACAAAGAAACTTAGGAGTGTCTAAAAATCAGGGAAGTGAACAGATGAGAGGGCTGAACAAAACCATATTTACTGGATAATTCCATAGTAGTGGCTATGTTAGTATATTGTTGCAAAACAAAAGAGCAATCCAGTGGCATCTTAGAGGCTATCATTCATTCAAGCATGAACATGAGTGAGTCAGAGCTCACTTCTTCAGATGCTATGAAGAGGAAACCATTTCCCATGTTTCTGTGAGGAAAACTACAGAAGGGGGGGGGGAGCGAGAAGCTGGGGACAGAGAGCGACTTAATGTGAATCCCATCATAAATCGGTCAGGTGCGATTCTCTGCATAAGGGACTGGAATGGATGAGGTTGTTAGAAAAAATGGGTGATGAGAGAGGTCAGAGCTTCTGGCCTGTTTCTCATGAGGTGCAGATAAACGAAGGCTGTGGTCACACGGAGCATTAGCCACGCTACAGAGATGAAAGATAGGCGGATTTTCCGGGCGCAATCACAGCGCCACATCTGGGAAGTGTAGAGCTCCCATGGCGAACCCGAGGCTTCCCGCCAAAGATGCGGGGTAAAAAAGTGTAGTACCTCCGAGGTACTAGTTTCCGGAAACCACGGGACAAGGGCGGGCGCCTGATCGCGTTTCCGGTGGTAGGTCGCGGCATCTGGCGCCCGCCCATGTCCAGTAGCTAAAAGGTTTTTTCCCCCCAAGTCTCCATGGGATGTGCACAAGCACCCAACGGCGCATGCGCACACTTCGTTTAAAAACAAACAACACAGCCCCCTCCTCTTTTCCGTACCCCCCCACTCCTGGTTCGGCCTGCTCGAGAGGAACTCTCTGCACCGGTCGGCAGAGGGGGAGGTGCAGGGGGGGGGGAGGGCGGCCTGGCTGAAGCTCCTCCTGGAGGGGACCAGACGGAGGACACAGTTTGCATTCCTCTGCAGCCCTGGAAGGGGTTAAACCCATGGAGCCTTAGGATTGTCCTGTGATCGGCACCTCCTCCCTAACCCTAATGGGACCTCAATTGGACCTCTACGGGATATCTGATTGCGCAGCCACGCATTATTTTGCTCTGGGGCAAACAGCCACGCTTTCCCTCCCCCCTCGCATTTCCCTGCCCATGTGACCGGGGCCCTAAGTGTAATTAAGTAAGATAAACAATTGAATGAGGAAGAATCAGTCTGAAGCAAAGGCGAATTAACAGACATCAGTGAAGGGTCATGTCATGATACAACATATTAAGAAAGGCCAATTAAAATTTCTAAAAAGTGAATCCTGTTGACTTATTAGAAATTAGAATAAGAAGTCTTGGGTCTGTTTAAGTCAGGATGACAGATGTTTAATTTCTTGATGAGTTTTAATTCAGTACATTTATATCGTATATCCCCTTTTAATTTTGTCTGTTTGTGAAGCAGTCACTTTCAACTCTGCCACAGTATGTCCATCTGTACCGGAGGCCTTGTTCATATGCAGCAAGCTGACCATAATGCCTGCTGGGAGGCAAAATGGCTGATTTGCAGGCAGTTGCAAGAGAGGTACCAACCAAGTCTCAAGTTGCACCTCAGGGAAGGATACCACTGGCTCTGCATTTCCTGGAGAAAACCAAGCAAGCATTCTCCCACAAGGACTCAAGAAAAAAACAACACACACTTCAGCCACTAAACTGCCAGATACTGCCTCAGACTATAAAGAAGAATCCCGACTGCCACATCTCCACAGCCTCACCTGCTCTGATACCAAGCAACAAAGACCCAGGAAACAGGAGAGCCAAATCACACCCTCCAGCAACTTCCCAGCTGGACACAGGCACAACTCTAAAACTAGAACCCCGAGGCCTGCATGCTGCCGCCTCTCCCCAACCAGTCTCGCCACACAAACAAAGCTCCAATGCAGCTCTATGAAATCAGTTTACACACAGCAAGAGGCAACCGGGATCCAGGATTCCCCCCTCCCCCACTCTTCAGGGTCTTCAAGGCTTTGCCCACAAGCAAGATTTCAGAGCCAGGTGTGATGATGGCAGCATCTCACCAATTAGAGCAGCTCCCTTTTACAGCCACCCACTTCCCTTTTTGAAGCCAACACTGTGTGCTACTAGACCATGGCACATCCCCGCCCCCCCATGCCTACACTTCTGAACAATCTTGCTCCAAATTAATCCTCTAACTAACGAAAGAAACCACAATCCCTTTTCTTAGCAGGCGGAGAAGCAAAAAAGGAGGCCCAAGCAGGCGGCCAGCTGCGGGAGCTGCAAGAAGGAATGCCCATAAGCGGAACAATGGGCTGCTAACAGGAACACCTTCTCATGGGGCACGGCAGCGATCCGGCTGGAAGAGGATCCGAAATACCCCCGGGAAGCAAAACACAAGCATCCGGAAGGGAGGAGGGCCCGATCCCGCGCGCGTTTACTCGGGAGGAGGTGAGCGCTGCCAGCGAGAGGCGAGACCGTCTCCCTTCCACTAACCCCCCCCCTCCCTCCCGCTTCCCCCCGGGTCGTCTTCCGCGGCGTGCCCCAGGGGCGTCTCCTGCGAAGGCAGCGGCCGTCGCTCGCTGCCACGTCCGGAAAGGGCGCGGGGGCGGCGGGGCCGAGGCGCCGGCGGAGCCCG